TGCTCGGCCGGTTGGTTGGTTGGTTGTTTTTAATGGGGAATGACTAATGGGCTAAATCCTGAACGCCTTCGATCAGGCGGGTCTCCCCACGGAAAGCCTGAGAACTCATCTCAAGAAGGAAGGAGCTGCGCTGTTGTCCTTGCCAAAACTGGCCACGTGCCTCCCCCCGGCCCAGGTGGTCATTTCTGCCTGGCCTTCCCCAGCTGGGGACCGTCACCTTCCTCTCCCGCCGTCTCCCCTAGTACTGCTTGCTCTGAGCCCCTTGCGTCTCTTAGCTTCTTCCCCCTGGGCTGGGACGTGGAGGGCCCGGTGGGACGGGACACATGGACCCCGGTGGGATGGGACACTGCGGCCACCCTGGGCGATGCCGGAGCAGGCGCTGCAGAGGGGACAAGGGGAAGGAGCGATGCCCCAGCTCCAGCTGTGTGTCCTCAGCTCCTTGCAGCAGCTGAGAATCAAATCATTGGAAGCAAGTGGGAATCGTTTATTTTCGTAGGGATTTACCCTACAAAAGAGCAGCGGCGGAGGTGAGGGGGCAGGTAATGGTAGGCCACAGTCTGAAGCAAAGGGTGAGCATCACCCGAATTAACTCCTCTGGGTGACGTGCCAAGGAAATGGTGATCCCAGCCGCATCCCTCAGCTGCCGCCGGCTCCCCCAAGGACAGGTAGCCCCTCGATCTCAGAGCTTGCTGCAGCTCCGAGACGGTTCTCGAGGTAAATAGATGTATAGCTTGACCTGGTATAAAACTCCCCGGTGTCAGCCGACCCCTCGCACGCCTGCCATACCTCATCTATGAATTAGATTCCTCCATTTTCCTAACAATAATGTATGACACACAAGCACTAATAATGGGGCCGAGCAATCATAAACCGATAAGTCCCTGACTGATTGGCTTTTCCTTCGGCATCCATCAAAGCGTCATTGATCTTCTGTGCGAAGGGGGGTGATTAATGGCCTTCCCGAAGCCCGACGGGGTTGTTTACGAGGGCTGGCGAAGGAGTGCGGTGGCAAGGAGGGCTTGGGAGCACCGGTGGGGAGTAAATATCATCCGCTCGGCGGAGGAAGAGAGCCCGTGCTTCTCGGTGAGGGGCAGGGAGGGACGTTGGATGGGACAATTTGAGCTTGGTGGAGCAGGGGAAGTGCTGCTGGAGAGATGCGGCTGCGCATTTAGGGTCCCACCAGGCAGTCGTCCGTCTGGGGCCGTGCAGGGGACAGTTGGCCGCGTTCCTGTCACCGCCTTTGTGACTGTGGGCTTGGGCTGTGGGATGTCCCCCCTGATGGGGACAGGGGGAATCTGTAGCTGGGTCATTCAGGGACTCCGCTTTCCCCCTCCT